GCGGCGCAGACTGTGGGACAGATTACTCCTCTCTAGCTTTTCCAATGATTCCGAAGCGTAGAAAAGGCACCGAAAGATCTGCAGCAGTGCAAAAAGAAATAAGCGCCGACATTTCGAAGAGCAGCTCGCAATTACCACGAAGACCGCCCCAATGATAATCTTTGTTTGTGTGAAGCGAAGCGTCAGGCTGGCAGGTGATGAGCCGATGCTGGATGGCCGGGACGGACAGCCCTCAACCTCCAGCTCTGAGCGTGCATCCGATTTGACGGTGCACTTCGTTTCTGTATTCGCAAATGACCAGGTGTCTGTTCCGAGTTCGACGTGTACCACTGTTGCCGAACTCGACAGTCTGGATTGCGGCGTTGAAGAGGTATGTCAACTACTCATCTGTCTTGACGGCACCAAACCTGCCAGACCTGATAGGCTCCATCCGCTGATTCTCAAGCCCCTTTCGGCCATCATCTCTCTTGTCGTGATTGACCTTTTCAACAGATCGCTGTCCGAAGGTTCTTTGCCGATAGACTGGACATGTTCGGTGGTGAAACCTATTCCGGAAGCCGGCGACCATAGCAAAGTAGACAACTACAGACGAATCTGTCTGAAACCTATTTTGGCAAAGGTTGCTGGGACAATCGTGAAGAAGGGATTGCTGCAGTCACAAGAGGTCCTGAGGCCCTCACAGTACGGTTTTATGAAAGGCTGCTCATGCATTACAAACTTTCTTGTGCTGAGGCATGAGTGGTTGAAGGCAATAAGCAAGGGGAAGTGTGTCGACATGATATTCGTCGATTTCAGTAAAGCTTTCGACAAAGTCAGCCATGAGGTCCCCTTTCACACATTCAGGATGTGCGGTGTTGGTGGCTTACTGCACCAGTAGAGCCACGACTTTCTTGTTGGACGAAAGTGGAGGGTGGAGGTAGACGACTATCTAACTGGCCGGTATCCCTCTACAAGTGGCTTGCCTCAAGGCAATCTACTGTGGCCCACTCTGTTCCTGATCCACATCAACGATCTACCTCAGCTTCTCCGGTCGCCGTGTGCCTCGTTTGCGGACGACATGAAGATTTGGAGAGAAATTGACGTTCCCGACGACTGTGGCATACTACAGTAAGACCTCAAACGCCTATCCGCTTGGTCTACAGAAACTCACCTCCCAGTCAACCTAGTCAAGTCTGTATTTATGAGACTGGTGAAGGGTGCTGACGGCCGAAGTTACACCCTTGACCACCAACCGCCATATCCCACACCCTCTGTGAAGGACCTAGGTGTACTCTCGCGCTACGATTTGAAGTGCGTGGACAACACAAAAACAGGCTATATCGTAACGGACTGCGCATGCTTTGGGCGCTCAAACGTAGCTTCGGCATATGGTCTGAAAAATTTGCCACTCATCTCTTCTCTTCCATCATTAAACCAATGCTAAAGTACAGTTAGCCCGCCTACCTTCAGATTACCCGAGGCGAGGCACAAAGGATGGAACCGGTGTAACACGTTACTACCAGGCTCATCTCGAGCCTACGTGGCGTGCGGTATGAGGACCGGTGCGAGAAAGTAGGATTCTAAACCTTGTCCTACCGTCGCATGCAAGTCGGCCTCATTATGAGCTACCGTGGTCTAAATCTCGGTTATTTCCCCCTATTGAGGCCAATGCTGCACTTACGAGGGCCATGCAGCACACGCGGACGCATGTACAGACTTGTCGCGCCAGATGTGAAGCGAGTTCTCCGCCAGTGGGCTTCAAACGGAGAGCGGTACATATTTGGGACTGTTTGACTAAACATGTCATGGAGGCCACATCTGTGCAGCAGTTCAAAAGTTGTTGGATTTATATATTCAATTCAGAGAACGGTTGCACATTTACGATGCCATCTCACATTTGTGAGTCATACAATACCGTGAGTCAGGTATTTCAAATGTTACATGAGAACGATACCGATATTCACGGTTGACAATTTTTATAACGCTTTTCATCATATTTCGAAAGAGCTTACATAATTCGTTTCAACTTGCTCTATAATACAATATTCAATATTCAGTATTAGAACCATGGGCACAATATTTGACCTTATTTTCATGAAAGATGGAAACGACTCCTCATCACTCTTCGCCGCACCTACTACAAGGGAGTACGCTAATAAATAGAACAGTAACCTGAACACATCCCTTCGATTATCAAATGGCAACATGTGATCTTCCTTAATATCTCCGACAGAAACCTTACTGAAGGCTCACACACTAATAGAGACTGACTGCTGCATGCTACAACTCCACAAGAGGTCTCAATATAATGGCTGTGCAATACTGTTTAATTTCTTTAGTTCATCCGAGGCATATAAATGCATTCAAGATGGACCAGTCGTCTCATCCCCTACGAGATATATATCCAGCTACATAAGGGCCGATCATACGCCTCTGAGAAGACGTCTCACGAGACAGTGAGCGACAACCTGGCTCTGTTATGAATAGCGGCTTACAGAAACCTGAACCGAGATTAACCGTAACCAAACCGCTTACATTTGATTTGGATCACGAAGTTGACAACCACGCGTTTGCTGTTACTGATGGCAAGCACCTGCTGAATGTGTAACATAAAGTAAGCTGTCAGCAAACAATGCGAAATTTAAACCAATTGTCATCAAGACTGACTACGTGCCACAGGAAGGTTACTTGTTACGTTCGCGAGAACAGTACTAAAGCTTTGTTTTAGCAAATCGTCCGCCTATCCTTCACCCGAGCCTTTCTGTAACCAGGCGGCTAACACTTGACATGTTATGCAAAACGCACATGCGTCATCGTACCTGCATATTCCATATTTCCTCGACATCGATGGCACACAGTTCCTCAGCTAACGGCCTGTCAATTCGTGATCTTCGATTGACGCAATCACTGCAGCTGCATGGCAACTGATACGATTATTACTAGGTTGCTTGGTTTCCATTTAGTGAGTTTCTAGTTAGAGTATTGTTCTACCTGTTTGTCAGTCTTCGGATAAGGCTTTTGCGTCTATTGCGAAATAGTGCCAAACAGGTATTCTATTCATGCTCCACGGGTATCTAGTTACCTGTCGGTTCTAAGCTGGTTTCAGGATGTTCACAATCCAGATTATCATGACTCGTTAATTACCAACTATCTCAAGCGATCGTATAGCTGTTCATGTGTATTGCACAAGGCAACCTCAGGATGTTCTTATAAAAACCACCGGTGTAGGGTATGGACACGTATGGGTTTCGTAACGCTTTCAGGTGTCCTCTGTTCTGCAATTAGATGATCATCTAATTCCTCTATGTACACAGCATTGGCTCTGTGAAACACAGATAAGGCGATCTAAACCTACACATGCTTTGAGTGACCTGACCGTAATAAAGTGTCCTACCTCTATCCACCGGTTGGCGAAATATCGGTTTGTAATCTAACCACTGCTGCGAATGTAGCAGTCAAGGAATGGTAATGCCCCAGTGCAAGATTTCAACTCTATAGTGAACCATTTCAGGTGCTTCTCAAAGTGGTTTTCATTCAATTGTGCGTTCACAAATGTGTCATCCACTCGGCAATAACATTTCGGACATTTACGTGAGTTTGCCAGTACCACGAACAAAACAGTAGACATTGACGAACTTATGGTAAGGCCCTGTTCCTATTCAATTCCGACTGAAACGTGAGCTACGACGCATATCGCACATTATCGTGCTCTCGATTTTTTCAACCACCTTAAGCTTCGACCACTCACCGTCTGTGTG